CGGGACCAACGAGAGGAACCCCCGGAGCTCCCAGCTGCTGCAGGCAGCAAGGGGGACCCCAGGAGCTCCCAGCTCCAGCAGGGGGACCCTGGAGTTCCTAACCCTCTCCTCCCGCAGCTGCCCAGGCTCCCCCTTTTGTCATGGGTATTTTTAGTAAAAGTCAGGGACAGGTCACGGGCTTCCCTGAATTTTTCATTATTGCCCGTGACCTGTAGGTGACTTTTACTAAAAATATTCGTGACAAAAACTTAGCATTAGCTATAAGCACATCAGTACAAGGTGCTATAGATGGTTATACCAATCTATGGCAATTTACTACAACATAAATTAATCATTTCTTAATCCTTCATAAACTATCCTGTATTTTTAATATGAAGTATGTGCAATATGCATTACTTGTACCATGCCTAAAGGTGTTGTAGGTGCCTCAGGAAAGATAGCTAGACAATATCCTGCCTCAAAGTGCTTACAAGCTGGAATATAGAAATGACCCAGCCAGTTAGCATGAGAACAGACCAGAAAGGAGTGTCTTGGACCAATCACGAGCAGGAGACATGATCACAAACACTAAGCTAGTTTATTGTTATGTTAGCACTCTTGAGAACGAGAATTCTTCCACTCCAAGAGGAAGCTGGTAACTATTGAATTATCTTTAAGAAGGCCCTGATATTGTACTCTAGATGCAACAGAAACAGAAGCATGAGGAATAATAAACTGACTATAAATAATAAGCACTACAAAGATCAGTGTGTTCATTAGTTAACATCTAGATCTACATGCAAATACAATTTCATGAAAATTTAGACACGATGTTGCATAATGTCTTCTGTCTCTGTCACAACTTGGCCCAGTGTGTGGAATAGATGTAGCATAGACTAAGCACCGAGTTATTATTGTCCCACGAAAAAGAAAAGTGCAACAGTTTTGAGGAGCACAGTGTTTGAAAGCTCATGTATGAACTATACTGGACAATCATCTTGTTCCAAAGTGACAGCATCATTTGTGACACCAGCAGTTTGGAAGCCCAATGTCCAACATCTTAATTTTTGATTAAAGGAAAATCTGTTTTGTAAACATTTTATTTGGCAATGGTAACCACCAAAGAGCTTATTTCAATTGCACTTAACTGAAATATCATACAGGAGTGCCTACAGTGCAAGAGCTTATTCCTGAGAAATGTTTTGGCAAAGTTTAGATCCATATTAAATAGTTCTCGTGTTTGACATTGAACATTGTACCATTAAACCTAGTTATTCCAGGTTTCATTCAAGTTTACAATTACAGTCTAAATAAAAACTACAGATAGGAGTGCCTGGACGTCAGTGCCGGCCTATTTCTCTTCAAATTAATACAAATATAAAATACATTAATTTTAGCATATATAACACACTGCTTATGCACAGCATTCATTTTGCTGTACTCCGGTATATTGAACACACACTGTAGATTTACTTGTTTGGGCAAGGGGCCTAAAATGTATCAATTAAACCATTGTGAAATCCTGGTCCATTGAAGTCAGTAGGAATTTCACCCCATGTCATCAAAGGTGCAAAGGTATGAACATTGGTACTGCAGCATGTATGTACTAGTGCCAAAATATACAGCTTTAAATAATAGTTGTGACATGATATAACTTCTCTCTACATTTGCTCTGTTAGTGTATTTCCTATGACAACTAAACAGACAGATTAATTTGGCCTGGGAGCTGAAAGGGAATTTTTAATTAATCTTCCTCGACGGATGGACAGTTTTCAACTTGAATCACTAGGGCCAGGTTGGTAGGAAGGAACTCAGTAACAGCACCTTAGTAGTTCTCACCAAATAGGTGGGTTACTAAACAATCCTAGTCTGAGACCTTGTCTGTGCTACACAATTACACTGCAGTAATTACTCCATTTTTCATGTCCACACTGCCCTTCCTCTGCCTGTGGCACACATCCTCACGAGGAGCCCTTCCACTGATTTATGAAGGGCAGTGTGGGGAGCTGGCGCCTGGCAGTCGGGCTCCCAGGTGGGAGCTCTGGGGGAGCTGAGAGCCTGGGCTCTCAGTGCCGGGCAGGGAGACTCCATCTCTGAGCCATGCACAGAGCCCACAGCCCAGGTTCTCACCACAGGCTGCAAGGCTCCAGCTGTCAGCATTGCAAGGCTCACAGCTGGAACACTTCTCCTGCCCTGGGGGCTCAATTTCAAAACAGGGACCCTACCAGCAGTGAAACTGACATTCTCAGCAATGCAAGTAACTACAAACTATGAACTACATCGAATTAAGTCTTACGCCTCTTGCCAAGGTGTTTATGTTAAGTCAGTGTACCGGGTGAGTTACAGCAGCAGGAGGAACACTGTAGTGTGTACGCTTACAGAGTAGGTCAACATAAACTGCTTTACGTTGACCTAATTCTGTGGTGTGGACCTGGCCCCAGTAGAGGCTGGCAGCATCGGAAAGTGGACAGGCAAACCTGATGTTCTCTGTCTGGGCTGAGAGCCTAGGGACTGCTCCCAGTACAGGTGATCTTTGATTACTCCTTTGTTTTTACCAGTGCTATTTGCTCTGCCATCTCCAAATCCTGCTTTTCTCATTCCTTCCCATCCCTCCCTGCACTCAATCGTTTGGTTCCCTCAGGCGGTCAAAACAAGGTAAACTCTGCCTGCTTTGGTTTAGCAAACTCCGTAGGCCAGAATCTGCTGCAGATTACTGGGTATGTAAACTGCACATGGGGGGGCGGGGCGTGGGGAGAGCTATTGAAGTCAAGACACTCCCACAGATTTGGACTTTAGGTGGAAGGTGGAAGGCAGCAGGTGGAAGCTCTGCCAGTGATGAGATCTTCCCAAGCACATGGGGAGGGCAGTTGCAGGCTCTCAGAGAATCTCGTAAATGCCTCTGGTGGGATGAGTAATAAACAAGCTTATCAAGATAACTCATCAGGATTCAAACAGCTTTGTCTCACCAAAAACTGGGAGTAAACAGTTAAAAGCAGAAAACAAAGGGTGATGGGGAGTGCTGTGCGCTCACTGGCAGTCACTCATGCAGACTCTGAGCTCCTGAGCAGACACCAAGAATGGATATTTGCACATGTATATTGTTTTGCAGCACTGCTTTCTAATAGCAGGAATGTTTCATAGTAATGGACGTCTTCGTAGCAGGATCAATTTAGATTCAGGAATGGAGTTTCTGTATGTTTCCCTTTTTCACATTTTCTAGGGCATAGTATGGGAAGTGCTGAATGGACATGATGTTGTAGCATCTTGGGCCCTAATCCTACAACAGACAGGGGGCAAATGGACTGCTGTGTCTGCACAGAGACTCATTATTTGATTTTGATGGGGCCCTGTGTGGATGTAGCAGTCCACCAGTTCACTATCTTTAAAGAATCAGGCTTCGGAAAGAGTCTATAACAGTGTTGGGTGAAAGATCATGCCTTGGTCAATGAACCTGCTTTTTTAAAAAAAATAAAGAACCTTGCCTTAGACAGTATCAGTGGAGGCGTATTAGAAACATGGAATTTTTTCACATTTAGTCACACTATGGCTGCTTGCCTTAACCTGCTGCTAAATGAAAACACCTGAGAAATACAGAGAGGAGGCACAATTTGGGGGTAAGTCCAACCTTGTAAGAATACCACTCAAGAAAACAAGGCCAGCAAATAAACTGGAATATTGATTCATTCCCTTGAAACCAAATAGTGAATTTCTCAGAGACAGCATTCAGCTGTACTATTATTAGAAGCCTTATTTTCCCAGGACCAAACATGATTCCTTGTGGTTGGACACTATTAGATGATTACTGACAATTTCTGGAATTTCTTCCAACTAAAACAACACCCCTGCCCACCAATCACTGTTATTTAATACATTGAACATTCAGCTGATGACCGCAGTGTAGACATTATAAAAATAACTGATAAAGCTACTTATTTTCAAAATCAATGTCAAGAAATAAATAGGAGAAAGCTTTTAAGAGCCAATCTTTACAGGCTAATTATGAGTCCTCATTAGTGTTCTAATTAAAGATTAACAAAACAGATGCCCTGATTCAGCAAAGCATCTAAGCATGTGCTCAAGTCCCAGTGACTTCAATAGGACTTAAGCACATGCTTAACTTTAAGCATGTGAGTAACCCCATCCTTTTTCAACAAAGCACTTAAGCACATACTTAAGCTTAGGCATTTGTCTATATGGGAAAGTTTCACCAGTGACACCAGTATAATTATACTTGTATAGTTAAACCACTGTAGTTATACTGGTAGAACTCCTCAAGGGGGCATTCCTATTCCAGAATAAGTGTGGCTTTTTTTTTTTTTGGCGTAGTTTAAACAGTTTACAAGGAAATGTAAATTAAATCAGGAAAAGACATTCTTATACTGGAATAAGACTGTCCACACAGGAGGTTATACCCATATAACTAGAGTGGTTTAAATTCAGCCTTATCTTATACCAGTATAACTTTCCCCATAGACAAGCCCTAAAAGAGAGCTATCTAGAAACAGAGGGACAGCTTAGACATTCAAATAAAAAAACTGCTTGGGACATTCCACGAGTTTAGGTTTGAAAAGTTCCCAAAGTATCATCCTTTCTGTTGAGAAGAGTTTTCCCCATTTAGAGGAGTTGGAGTGCATGAGGCATAGGTTTCCCATCAATGGAGGAGTTGTGGGCATGATATTCTCTGAGTCCCACATGACAGCACAGCTCTTTCACTGGTTCTTTTGTTGCATCCTCTTCCCCTTAGCCCAATTCTCAATAGGGCTGAGCAATTGCTAACAGTTGTGTCACAAAGCTTTGACCTGTAATCACTAGGTAGTCCGGGTGTTAAAAAGTTCTACCACCTGTGGTAATTTTGTACAGTATTTGCAATGCTGTTCACATATAAATTGCATTTACCTTTTACAGAGTTGATATTTCCCTCTTTGAATGTTCTATTCCCTCACATAATAGCAAGCTGTGTTTCTCTACATTTCAATATGGAGTATGGAGGAGAATATAAATTCTTAAAACTACTCACTTACCAATGTCAAGGACCCTCTGTTTAGCTGTGTGCTGCCGAGAATGCCAGTATTTCCAATACTTCAGCTGTTCCTCTCGGTTTTTATCTTCACTGAATACAACCATGACCACACTCTACAGAAAAGGGGAGTGGAGACTATATTACTGGCAGTACCTCGCGTTTAATTAATTCTGAGATGCCTAAGTACTAGAAACGTCCACCTGCCTCCATTGCCACTAGAAAATCTGCCCTTGAAGGGAATACCATTCAGTGTTTTGTATTCTCGCCCTACATGTGTGATGCATTTAATATTTGTGTGCAATAGAAAGGTAATTTAAAAATAAAGCAGGGACAATGATGATGGTTTTTGTGGAGTTTGAATAAAATGTGACTGAGTATTTAAATGTAAGAGGGCTGTGTTTCATACTGCTAAAAGTGGTGATCTCAAAAGCAAAAGCATCCCAGATTCTAATTCTGACTGAGATACTTGGAATAAGTCATTTGGACTCGTTGGGCCTTTAGAAGATTATATAAAAGTAGGAATGATATGCTCGGTATGATAGCAGCTCTTCTGGGTAAAAGAAACGTACACAAAAAGTTCCTATAATGCTGCAATCAACTAAGTGTGGAGGGATTGGGGACAGCACCGCAGGAAAATCAGAAGTGCAGCAGGAAATATCATTGTGAATTTTCTTGTTGTTTAAAAAAATATATAGCCACAAATTGATTTAACACAGCTGAAAATACACCCTAACAAAAAAGCAGTATTTTAGTGCCTGCAACAGTCAACAATTCAGACAAACTACAGCCTGTAATGTTTAATGTTTGAGCTACTTTCAAACAGGTGTTTTCATATGTGATGAGCAGCAGTCATTAAAAAATAGTGTTCTTTGTCTGCATTTGTGGATATACCACTTTATATATTTCTTAGTCCAGTGGTCCCCAAACTTTTCAGAGTAGCACCCGCTCTTACCCCTGGCCATGCCTCTCCTCAGAAGCTAGGGCTGAGAGCGGAGCCATGGCTCCCCGGGGAGGGAGGAGAGGTGAAGGCATGGAAAGAGGCAAGGGGTCCGAGGTTGGGGCGCAGCTGGGGGTGGGCCTGGGGTCGAGGCAGGAGCTGTGGCCAGGGGACTGGGCTGGGCCGGAGCAGAGCTGGGGGCGCAGTGGGGCTGGGTAGCCTTCCCTCTCTGCCCTTGAACGTTCCTCCACACACACCCCAGGGAGGGTCACGCTCCAAAGTTTGGGGACCACTGCCTTAGTCCCAAGCACCCATCTATGTCAGAAGTCTTGCATATATTTTCATTTTTACCACAATGCTATATGGGTTTTTTACTCATTTGAATTTACATTTCAAGTTCTGGATTCATTTTGCTCTAATTAGGTGATACCAAAAACCAAACCAAAACAAATTGTAAATTCACTCTACATCTTAACTCTGTAGTCATAAAAGCTCAGGAAAAAACTTGCCGATTTAAGCACATTTAATAAAAATTCTGTCTGCATCACAAATGCTGCATGCTAAAGTAACCTGAAATTATAGAAAACAAAAAATAGCCCCTTCAATGTGTTCTTTTTGTTCTTAGCTGAAGAAGGTTTTCCCAATATCCACACAAATTCCCCATAAATAGCCTCCCACCTTGAATCACCAAACTGTTTAAAAAAATGGCTGTCTCTGAATGTAAAGTCTCCCAAAACAAGTGTGAGATAAAGAGCACAATTTATGGTGTTCCCTTGGACCTGATCTAGTGCAATGACATTGCTGAATAGCCTCTTGCTAACTGCAATTGACTTTGCAACAGGCATTTGGTCTAGGATTATATTCATATTTTCTCCCTTCTAGCAGGGTTTGAGGGTTGTCCCCAAACTGTCTCAGAAGGGGTTATGTCATAAATCTGGTAACCCCTTTAAGAGATCTAATCATCTAAGAGCCTCAATAAACAGATTTATTTCATCTTGCTTTAATCCCCCACTGTGTCTCTGACACACAGCAAGAAAACCATGTTGCGAATGAGATTGGACTACAGTAGCCACAGCGTTCTCAGCCTGGTAGTATTTCATCTGCTTCACCTACTTGCTGCACTTTGAGCTTCAGGGGACAGCGCCATTCTCAGGGCAGCAGCTTTGAGGCTCATTTTTCATTTCAAGTCTAATGGGTGATCACCAGTTAATCTGAAAGATTACTGGGTGAGCCCAGTGTGTTCACCACAGTTTGATTGTCACAGCTCTGCTTCAGAAGATGAGAACTGAGATGAAGCTGTAAATCTGATTTCCAAGGTGGGAATCTCCATAAAGGTTGCGTTCTTCTTGAATATAAAACAGCTCACATGCATAAACCACGCTTGATTTGATTTTTAAAACAGATCATTAGTAAATTAATGGCCCAATACTGCCAGCTGCTAATGCCCTCAACTTCCCATGACTTGAGTGGGAGCTAGGAGAGCTCACTCAGCACCTCACAGGTTTGGGCCACGAGGACTCAAGCCGGTGCTTAACATTGGATGTCAGTGCAATTTAAGCATGTGCTTAAAATTAAGCAGAGGAATAAGTGCTTTGCTGAATCAGGCCCATGAATGGTTCCACTGAAGTCAATGGGAGTACTCGTGCTGAAAGTGTCTTGCTGAATCATGGCCTTAGACAGTTATATACTCAACTGGGCAGCTCATGAGATGGGACTGAAAAAGGACTAAAAAATATACAGCACATATCCATAGCTGATAACTTTTCCCCATATTTCTGTTGGTGTTGTAGCCAAGTGTTTCTGCTGTTCCCACAAGAAAAATAAAACAAACCAAGAGCAACCCCTGAACGTTACGGCAGAGTTCTGTTCTGTATAGCAAAGGCTGCCATACCCTGACTTTGCTGATGGGATGTCGGAAACACTTGTTGTCACCCGTCTCGCTCAGAGTAATGGCATAAAACTGTCCTTTGTTCAAATAGGTCATTGGTCCTTCCCCTTGCTTTTGACGCAGAGATTTGGTAGCTTCTAGAGTATACTGAAAAGTGCTGCTGTGAGAGAGAAAGAGAGAGAGAGAGAGATCAAACAATCTCCATGACTTTTCCTTTTCTTTTTGTCCTTATTTATTTATACATTTCACAAGCGTACAGATGGTATTGGCATAAAACTAATAGGAAACTAAATAGCAATAATGATGGGAAAAGGTCAAAATACGTAAAAACAGAGACAGGTGATTCAATAACTAAAATGCTCTTCCTTTAAATCCATCAAATCTGGAATTCATTAAGAATAGACTAGCTAGATTATAAGCCTCTTTGGGCAGAGACTGTCTCTTTAGTTTCTCTGTACATTACTGTCAACTATGGGCCTCTATATACACCCCAGTGATGAGAGTGCTGACTAATAGGTGGAATAGAGATTGGTTCACCGCTAGTAAGGGGAGCTAAGCTGCCTCTATGAACATTTGAACCTGCAGCTGGCACAGGAAGAAGAGTCCAATGAGAGGAACACAGAAGCTGCTGCGATGGTGTGTGGGAGGAACAAGACTCCTGACTACTGTTCGAGGAGATGGGAAAGGGGAATAGCAGAGTTGGGTTAATTTTTTTAAAGACAAATTAGAATCTAATTTTTAAGGGTATCTTTAGAAATGAACCCGATGGTGCAGAATACCTAGATTTCTCTGGTCGTGCAATTGATGAATAATACAATTAGAAAAAATAAAAGACAAGACATTAGTGATGTCATCGTATGGGAATTAGGATTTTGGAAGGGGAGATGTTCCATATGAGAAACTGCACCTTTATCTGTGGTGCACACTATGAAAAAGTTTGAAAATCTCTGTCCTATAGACTCCTTCCCTACATACACTCTTCACAGAACACTGTCTGTTGGCAACCTACCACGCTGCATTACGACAATTCAGTATATTCATCCCCATCACACTATAGTAAAACTTGCTGAATAAATGTTTCCCTTCAAAATACTTTTACAGACACCATGATGGAAAGAGTCATTTACAGGATATTGCCACAAGTTGAAAAAAATAATACCTTCTCAAAGGTCTGAATTCAACAAAGCATTTAAGCACTACTGAATCAGGGCCAAAAGCAAGAACATGCTAAACCAAAAGGTTATGGTGTCCTTGAATTTCTAGTCTAAAAGAAATTAACTCTGATGTCATACCATTGCCTCTGACAATATGAAAAGGAAATAAGGCAAAGACCAAAACACTGTTTTTCTTATTTTTAGCCACCAAATAAAAAAACAACCAAAATTCAGTAATAACAAGAATTTTTTTTCAAATCTTACCCAAAGAGATGGAAAAAAACCCCAAACCCTCCATTGCATCTTTCCTCCATCAGATGCAAGAACGTTCAGAAACTGTTTAGTTTCAATATAGTTTAGTAGTAATTTTTATAATTTGAAATGAAGGCTAAATTTTAAAGGTGTTCCTAATTACGTTACTCTACTCTAAAATTTATTCTGTTTTAATGTTTAAAAAAAAAGTTTGTTTTTTTGTGCTAAATTTTGCATTGTTTTGAAAAGACTACTGTATGTACAGTATACATTTTGTTTATGATAAAAGGGTATTTTAAACACAGAAGGCCAGATTCTCATTGACATTAAGGCTCCTTTACATCAGTCAGTGTATAAAGGAATCTAAAATGGATTTTAGTGTGAATCAAAATCAGACCAAGAAAGTACCACAGTACAACTGACTAATAGTCCATGTGCCTTAGTTTGTTCTCCTGTGTTTGACAGTTTCCTACTCTGGATGTTTCAGAAGGTGTTAAAAAAAAAAACCAAATTCCAGACATACTGCACCTGGCCAATTGTGTAATACCTGTACTATACCACAGTGGAAATTTCTTCCAAATTCCCAATTGGCAATCAGTTTATGCCCTAAAGCATGAGCATTGCTACCACTTGTCATTTTTACCCTAGCAAATGTAACTGCAGTTATTATTCAGAAAACTTTCTAAGCCTGTTTCGAATCTCATCAACTGCCTGATCTAAAAGCCCTTTGAAATCAATGTGAATCTTTCAATCCACTGCAGTGGGTCTTGGACCAGGCCCTAAGTTATGTTCATGTTATTCATATGAAGCATTCATTTCTGTATATACAGGGTATGGAACACTTAGTAGAATGCTATATAATTCACAGAGAGGAGGCATTTCCTTTCTGAATGGTAAATTATCACGTGAAGTTGCCCTTGGCTCTTATGCTAAAGGTTTTCACCTTAGTAGAAATGCTGACAATACAAACACTCCTGGATTATGTTTCAAAAATACCCAACACAGGAAATGGAAACTATGCTGCATTGATGCTGCAGATATACTCCTGTCTAAAGACCCAGTCCTGATCCATTGAGGATAATGGGGGTTTTGTCATTGACTTCATCAGAAAGGGACTGGGCCTTAAGAAAGCTACACCATAAAAAAAAGCCCCAGGCATGAGGGCCCCAATCCAGGAAAAATCTTAAGCATATGTCTAACTTTGCACATGAATAGTCTGACTGATATAAATTGAACTACTCATGTGCTTAAAGTTAAGTACATGCTTAAGTGTTTTCCTGGATCAGAGCTAATATGAGTCAATGACTAATCTAGCTCTTGTCCATTTATATGCATGCATTTTGCTGCATTTAGTAGCTAACAGCAATGACTGGTTATTTCTCCAAAACTTTAGTTTTATTTTGCAGTACTTAGCTGGGTGGTGACAGACACCACCAGATTAAATAATACAAAATACACAGAAACGTACCACAATATATAGTGACAAAGATCACCACAACCAATTGTTACAAAACAAAACAAAATGGGAATTTCATAAAATTGGGGGAGCTGATTTAACAACCTCAGACATTTGTGCTCTGCATCCTCCCGTCCTGGAAGGCAGTGAAGATTTTCCAGGAGCAGGCTGGCAATCTGTGCTCTGTACTTGGGGTACCAAGAGCCTGGTTCTCCTCTCACACCAGTTTTACATTTGTACAGCGCCATTGACTTAAGCAAAGTTATTTTTGATTTAAGCTTGTGTAAGTAGGAAGAGAATCAGGCCCTGACACTCAGGGCAGGTCTACACTACGGGGTTATGTCGACCTAACTTATGCAACTCCAACTACGTGAATAACATAGCTGGAATTGACATAGCTTAGGTCAATTTATTGCAGTGTCTACACTGTGCAGTGTCTAAACTCTCCTGTCAACTTACCTTATGCTTCTTGTTCTGATGGAGTACCAGCGTCAACGGGAGAGCGACTGGCGGTCGATTTAGCAGGTCTTCGTTAGACCTGCTAAATCGACCCCCGGTGGATTGATCACCACAGCGTTGATCCACAGTAAGTGTAGACCTGCCCTCAGTGAAGACACACACACTAGTCAGATTTTAAAGCCAATGTGCAGAGCAATGGAGGGGACCAGCAGTACATCCCTAGTGGTGGCAAAGTGGGGTTCTCCATACTATATTTTAATATGAGGCCAATCCAGCTCCATCTATTCCCATTTGTCTTTGAGTAACTTACCTTGCTGTTTGTTCGTAAATGTATTCCTCAGCCCCTACTGATGCACTGCGGTACTTCTAAAAGTTATACAAATAAAAAACAAACAAACAATAGATAAGGAATTATTGGATACAAAGAAATTTACAATTACTGACAAGATCATATTAAAACTTTTCTAGTTAGGGAACCCTTATAATAAACTATCAGGTAGTTAAGACTCAAAATACCTATTAGCCTGAGTAGTCCCTATGCGGTTTCACTTCTAGAGTTGACACAGAGAAATTATTTGCACCAAGTGTTTGGATTTTGTCAGTCTAGCTAGCTCATTATAACAATATCAGTAAAGTGGCAGGTATTTTTGTGTTCTGCTTGCCCTTACATTATCAGATGTTTAGAAGAAACCTGTAATAACATGCATGACTCACAATTGCAAGCATGTCCTAAGCTGAAAATTAAATGAAAGCTTTTACGGTGCCTATATTTTTAAAGAGGGTTTATGTGAATCTATTTCTAATTGTCCTCCACAACCCACACACTGAGGCTCATAAAAATTCGTATTATTGTATCATCTCATTTGGATGGGTGTGGGGACACAGGCTCAGGAAGTATTCTGCATGTAACACAGGATCATATTAGAATAATAGATTCATTTGACAAAATGAAAACAGATCTATAAAAAGGTATAGATGAAAAATGTGAAATATATTGCATCAAGAGGCTGAATTATGAAAACTATGTCCACTGCATAAATTGAAGAAAGAACCATACACTACATTATGGAGCAGAGGAAAATGATAAGAGATCCTTATCTATTCTATGAGATCCTTGCTTTTTCAGTTTACCTTTTGTGGCCATAATACACTGTTTCTAAAACCTCTCTGATGGATCATTAGGTATAATCTCATGGATTATTAATTATTACTATACTATTTTGTCACCACTCATGGTTTATTACATATTGATGTGCCATGATAAAAATGCTCTGCAATAAAAAGACTTGAAACCTGTTTAAGAGATGTCAGTTTATTACAGAGTGTTTTTACCATAGCACAGCAGTGGTTGTAGCTTTGCAGTTGACTGGTCTGATTTTTATATCATTTTACGTGATATTTTCAGTATGGCTTGGTATAGTGATGCAAAGAATGTCTCCGTAGAATAAGCAATTTTAAAAGATTAATCCTTGTTTTTGTGAGATAAATACAACTAGTTTCTATTAATTAGTATGTAACTAAACTAGTTTATTTAATCCAGCTGAGACACAATTTAAAATCTGATCCATTATTTAAATCCATATTAAAATCAGGCAACAATCAGATAGAAGAAATTACCACTTTTATAATATTATGAAAAATCATGATCATAGTACTGTAATTTATATGGAATGTTATACATAATTCTCTTGCATTCTGCCTTGGCTGATAAAAAGAATATACATCAAGATGATTTTTCTAAAAGGTATCTGCACTTGCACTTTTATAACAAATGGATGAGCATAGGGCAATGAAATGTGGGGAGGCAATCTTGTTGGTGGAAAAATGACTTTTTAAAAACTTACACTTCACACTTGAGACAATTGGTCCAAGGCCCTCAAACTCATTCACACACATAGCTCTTACTCACATGAATATTCACATTGATTTAAAAGAGATTGTTCACATGAATAAGAGAGCTGGACTGGGCCCATCCTGCACACATTTTCAAAAACAAGGGTCATGACTCATATGAATAAATTTTATTGAATGTACCGAGAATATTTACATGTGTGAAGTTGCTTATGTGCTGGAACGTTGGTAGGCTTGAGCCGTGTTTGTAAGTTACAGTAGACAGTGCATAATGCCTAACTTTCAATTGGTAATATAAATGACAGAGTATATTTTAAAAAAAATGTGACAAAATATTACTGATGTCACTGAGGTATTAGCAAATATATGTTTTCGCTCTTGTTTTCCAGTTTGTTAATTTTGTCCGTTTGACAGCACTTCATAGGATGGATTCACTGTTCTGTGAAAGTTCAGCTGCATTCCAACAGCATGTACTGGGATGATGCGATCAGTGCTATGAACTACCCAGGGGAAAGCCTATGTGCACACTACTCCTCAGCTCCTACAACAGGGTATTTACCAGTTTCTAGCATAAGGGTTGAAGCCATATAATTATAATTAATTCATAATAGTGCTTGTGCTCCCAGTTTAGTTTAAACTGATTTTTAAAAGCACAATAGATTTCCTCATTATGTCACCACAGAGAGAATTCAGGTTGTATAGGTGCCCTAAATATGCATTTCCATACCTTAACATATTTGTATTTCTTTTAAGTTTAATTCTGCATTTCCTGGGTTTGAATACTTGTTTTGGAGATAATTACATCCCTGTAATCTTTTTTTCCTAAATGAGTCATACATACTCTCAACCTTAACTCCATCTTAATGTAGTTTTTGTCTGGGAGTTTCCTTGGTTTTTTTTAATTATTAATAATTTCATACATTAACAGGAATCAGGAAACCAAAGGTGAATGTTACTATGTGATTTGAAGATATGTAGTATCAACCTTAAATTATTTTTAAAATTTTAACCTCTAGGATCAGGCACTCTAGAGCAGCACAAAGCAACCAGAGCATACTGGCCAATTAAACTGAATTTACAGTTGCTTAGCATTGCCAGAGAAGTGCATAGCAGCCAGAGCACACATCAGTTCTTCCCTCCCTCCTGTTCTCAACATTCCTCTGTACAAACACCCACCCACATACCCCATCTTCCCCCTACCTTTTGACCTCTACATTTCCTTTCACCCTCCTAATACCACCCATTTCCCCCTCTTGCCCTTCTTGATGAGCAGATCTGGTGCAATAGATAGCTTTTGAAATGAACTATTTAGGATTAATGGTAATTTTTTGCCATTACTTTTCACAACTAAAAAATGTATTCATCAACAGAAGTTGGTGGATAAACTCTTCCCCTTAAGAGATGCTCATGAACAATTATCCACTTTCAAAATGGCTACCATCTCCTATTGTTGCGAATAGGACTGAAGCTACAGCCTGCTAATAGTTAACTTGCCCTCTTTCAAAATAAGCCACCCCTACCCACTTTATTCTCAATGGGACTGAGGCCACAAGATGCCCTCTATAAAAATACCCATCACCTCTCATTGTTTCCAATAGGTACGAAGCCAAACTACCATCTAGGAAGATGGTGTTCCCCTATGCTGTCAGAAGGCAGAGAAGAGCACTGTGAGGAGCAGCTGAGTTCACTAAAGATGGTCACGGTCATTCACCTGCTCCTCTGTTGTGCAGAGAGCTAAAATATGCTGCTTGTGTTATTTATAAATTATTAATAATTTATTATTATTATTATTATTAATATTGTAGTAGTAACTACGAACACCAGTCAAGGACAAGCCCCCACTGTGCTCAGTGCTGTCCAACACAAAGTCACACTGTATGATTCTTTTTAATGAGTTCCAAGATACTAGTTCATAAATGAAAAACTTACTTCTGTTCCCCCATCTTTGAAAGTGTCGCTGTAAGTACTATCAGGAGTACTACGCTGGTCATCTTTGAGATAGTTTGTATGGGGGGCAATGTTGGGCACTTCATACTGAGTCTGTTCGAAGATAACCCCCCTGTGCTCCTCGTTTTCGCCCCTAACATAATGCACTTGCGGGGCCATAAAAACTGGTGTGAACTCTTCTGCCTTTACCACGGTAACTCCAGTCACCGAGATTGGTGTTGGGCTCCCAGATACACTTGTGCTGTACTCCCTTTTGGAAGACTCCAGATGTTCTTGGTTTAAGGAGAGATTAACTGGCACTGTCTTCAAGACTTGAACTCTGTTCTCTCCTCCACTCAAATTACTCTGAGATTCATTAGTACCAAGACAATTTCTGTGAAACAAACAAAAACCTGTGAATTGTCCTTATAGAAACTGGCATCAAATTTCCTCATTTAGGGAGTGGGCTGATTGCTACAGAAGTCAGGAAGAAAATACACCCGCAATGCAAAACTTTCTTCATGTATTGAGGACCAGGAAAGGTTACTTTCTTCTGAAACATCAGTGAATGAGTGGTCTCATCTAGTATGACAAATCCTGTGTGACCTAGTTTTCATTCTCCTTAGGCTACTATTTGGATACATAGTTAATAGATCAATACAAAAGCCTATTGGCCAAAATAAACATCAAGGGTTTTATATGAAATAATATATATTACTGACAGTAGAAAAATTTTCATGTGGAATAGAGAGAGTGAATTGTCAATAATGAGATTAATATTTTGCTATCTGCCCTTTCAGATAGCCACGGGATGTGACCATGTTTACTGATGTAATTCCTGAAGAAGTACTTCCAGGAATCCCATCCTAACAGAGCAGGACAGTAATTGTTGCAGGTCCACTGTAGCTTTCAGCAGCACCACCCTATCTCTAATGAAAGTGCCCTTAAAAATCCATATAATGTGCAGTTGTCACACACATGAAATGGTTAATTCATAAAGCTTTCAGCTTCCAACAGCTGCTTCGTGTTTTGTTCTCATTTTCAATAACTAATGAGAGTTGCTCTGATGAGAAAATGACTGCCATCTTGGCTTTCTGTCGGATGGACGTTTTGCCAATCCTGCTGTGGAATTTCTCTAGAGCCAGATGGAAGTGGAATTCTCTCTCTAGATGCAGATTGAAGAAGTTTCAGGTTATGTCTTCACTGTCAAAAAGGAGCTTTTTGTGCATCAAGATACCTAGTTTTATGTAAATCATAGTGGAGACAAGGCACTGTTAGTTTTTATCTCTATGTAACTAGCTGAGACAAACTCCACTTTGGGGCATAGCTATGATCTTGACTAACTAAGGTAAAAGTTACCTGTGCCTTCTCTCCACTAGGATTTTACATTGAAATAGCTAACTCGATGTACAAACATACCTATTTTTTGCAGGGAAGACATAGCCTCACTCTCTCCTGCTTGTGAGTCTCAATAAAGTCAGTTGTTTTCTTCTTAACCTGCCACACAGGACCCTTTAGCAACTTTGACTCCAGACACAGCAAAAGCTGTAATCTGAAAGGTGTGAGGGGAAGAAAATGTTTGACAGAAAGTAGTTTTAATGAAGAAGGTGTTATGTAAAGTTATTTGCTCCCTGACAGAGATGAGATTAGGCTAAGTATAACTACCTAAACCAGTTTACTGAAGCCAAACTACATAGCTTTTGTTACCCCAAAAAAGCAGTATTTCTAATGTCAATATTTTTTTCTGGTTTACTTTTTCAAATAACATGACAACTTCACTGGGATTCTTTATTACTTTGCAAATCACATTTTTTTAAAATTCCATTTAATTTTTTTAATAGGTACAGCTGTGTAATGGTTGCTTCCCACACTAGACTTTGTTCTTTTATCTTGCAGAAGGAAGTCAGAGGCCATAACAATTCTTTTGATTCACATCTGATCAAAGTTTCTTTTACTTGCAGTGTATTAATATATTATTTTAAATGATACAATACCTTTTATCTTGGTCTTCTTGATTGTCATTCACTTTGTTAACAGACAACAGCCTTTTATCTCTGGGAACCTGAGAAAAGCACCAGGCATTGGTCAGGCAAGTGTAACAGTTTGTATTTGCAACTTCAGATTAATATAGTCTAACAAAAGGTAAGGTTTATTTAGACCAAGGATGTCAAACTCATGGATGTCAGGGCTTACTTTTTTCTATTATATTGACAGTAAGCTTAAAGATGACTCCCCTCCCCTACCCTCCCCCAGGTGGGAAAAAATACAGGAATTATTCTCTCCTTTGGTTCTTGGATGTGTAAAGAAGGCCTGAAAAGGTTTTTAGTTTTCTTTCCCCAAAATAAGGTTTTATTCTGCTTGCTTTTTACCTTTGAAATACACTGGACCCTCGCTAGAACGCGGGATTTGGGACCCATGCCAAGTACCGCGTGATAGCGGGGACCGCGTTAAAATGAAATTACTGTATACAGTAAATGTCACATCCATAAAGTATAGAAAACCTTAGAAAATAAACTCCCACTTGAAGGAAACAATAAACGAGAAAAAAAAGTATTGCTTTATTGGAAATTTAAAGTCGACATTACAATAAACTAGTCTCGTTTTTTCTTTAAAAAGTCGGTGAGTGGCTTTTGCTTCTTGCTGCTGTGCCGCTTCCGCTTAGCAAACAGCAAAAGACTACGGAGCTGCATAATTTTTATAGGCTCAACGTCTTGCGTCTCAAACCCTCTCAAAGCAGTCTCTAAGCCGGCTACGGTCGCAGAGAACGACGTCCACTTCATCTTCCTCTTCTTTTTCTACGGCGAAGGGCAATTCTTCAGCTTCTGGAATGTTGTTTGGTTGTACTGAAGAATTTGGTCATCCGTTAGACTTTCAGCAACGGGACAAAATTCTTCTGCTTCATCATCGCCTCTTATCCAGGATTCGATATTTTGTGGCAGAACATTTACCCCGAGCCTGGACAGTTGCTGGCACAGCTCCTGCATCAACTCCATGTCTGTTCTTTCAACTTCCTCCTCTGTAAATCCCTCTAAGTCGAATTCCTCGTCACACTGTGATCTGCTTTCTTCATTTTCTTCCAGGAGCGGGTGGCCAAATGACTCTCGCATCCCACCATCCACTAGCGGTTTATCGTTTCAGCGCATAATAAATTCCAGGAATCGCCGCCAATGTAAAAGAAGTCTTTTATAGTCAACTTCTTCAGAAAATCGGTGACAGACAATTCGCTTTCTATCATTTGTCATACCAAGTCCCGTTGATAGTGCTGCTAAAAAATGGCGATAACATCTTGATCAAGCAGCTGGATTTTGGAAGTCGTGTTTTTAGGTAAGTATTCAACCCGTATTTTACTGTCACGGGTTCTGAGTCTTTTGGCCGGAGGATGCGCTGGACAGTTGTGTAGCAAAAGAATGGCCTTTTCTACACCACCGCATAGGGTCGATCTAAGATACGCAACTTCAGCTACGTAAATAGTTGATGCTCCCTCATTGACTGCGCTTGCACTTCTCGTTCTGGTGGAGTACTAGAGTCGACAGGAGAGCGCTCAGCAGTCGATTTATTGCATCTATACTCAAAAAAATTGTACTGTACAGTGCTTAAATTTGGGATCCATGGCCGCGACCGCATTATATCCCTATTCGCGTTATATAGACACATGTTCTAGCGATGGTCCGGTGTACCAGGAGTATCAAGTTCCAGGTTGGTATAAATACAGTTTGCACAAAAATAATAAAAGGAGTGAATTAAAACCAATTTAGCTATTTTGGCACACATTGGTATGTAGATAGTCTTAGTTAAGAATAAAATGATTGAAGTCAATTTAGCTCAGATGAGTAAAAGACTAGCTTTAGCCAAATCAAACTGCGGGCTTGTCTACATGGTGTAGCAATGCGCACTACAGAGGTGTAATTTCTGAAGCACACTAATATGCTATGCATTAATTGTACACTTGGGAACCTTTAGCACACCAGCAAGGTCTATATGGACCAATTAACGTGCAACATGTTAGTTCGCTTTAGAAGTCACATCCCTGTAGTATGCATTGCCCCATCGTGTAGTCAAGCCCATAATTACTTTTATTCCAAACTAAAAGTCTTCACACATTGACTTGGTCTACACTTAAAAGTTAGGCTGACATAGCTATATCAGTCAAGGGTGTGAAAAAAACACATATCTAACTAATGTAGCTATGGCATGGACTATACCTAAAACTTAGGCTGACCTAGCTACAGCATGCAGGGGTGTGAAGAATTCATACCCCTGTAAGATGCAGGTAAGCCAACCTAAGCCCCAGTGTCATCACCACTGGTCAACAGAAGAATTCTTCCATCGACCTAGCTACCACCCTTCCAGGGGATGGATTTATTACGCGGACGGAAAAAACCCTTCCATCACTGTAGCAAGTGTCTACGCTATAGCGGTGTAGCTATAGCACTATAGTTGTGCCACTGTAGCGCTTGTAATGTAGTCGACTTACCCTATGTCCACTTACCCCGCAGTGTAGTTGCAGCTATGTTGATGGAAGAATGCTTCCTCCGACATAGCTAACTTTGTCTGGGGAGGTGGTGTTCCTGTGCTCACGGAAAAACCGTTAGGTTGGTGTAGGTTGTGACTGCACTATTGGGATATGCTGGCACAGCTACACCGACGTAGTTATGACGGTGTGGTCTTTGTAATATAGACACAGCCATTGACTTGCACCACAGTAAATTGGTTTCCGAAAACCAATTCGATTCAATCCAGGCAAATTTGTGTGTAGACCAGCACTTCGGTTCTGTTTTTACAGAACTCCTTGAATTACTGAGAGGTGTGGATCAGGAACTATCTCACTTACCTTAATTGGAGTGCATGGAGGTGCTGCATCTTTAACTAAGAGGCATTCTCCTCACCCTTTTGAATTAAATGGTGTTAAAAAATACAAAGGGCCTAATTCTCAGTTATCCCAAGGCCCTTTTACACTAGGCTGGCAGCATAAAGGGGCCTTAATGTGGGAGAAAACAGTCCCCTGAGAATATCCTCTGCTAAAAGAGCATCCCTGGCTGGTCTAGAGATGGTGCCAGGGCTGTGTACCAGCCCTGGTTCCACATCTAGGGTAACGGTGGCGACATGTTGGGGCATCACCAGAGAACACTGAACTACAGCTATTCTCTGCTTCCCTAAGTTTATAGAGCACCATGAGAAGCAGAATGAAAGTCAAAGCAGGCCTCTCTATGGATCCAGATTATGTGACACTCAAGGTAATTTAAAGCCACCTTGGCCCCACCCCAGCCTTCCCTGACTCAAGCACAGGAATGAGACCCAAAGAATTTTAAACTGTCTAAATAAAAAACCTTTCCTATTTCACTTAATAAAGTTTCACTTGCATGATTTCTATGACATCATAAATCAAGTAGGTTTCCATAGAGTCTTCCAGGAAAAACAAGGTAGACAATATCTAAATTTCTAATGTAGAAACAATGAGAACAAAAGGCTTTCTTAACACATCCCAAAGAATGTGAAAAAAACATAAACCCTTTTTTACTTTACAGTTAGACTTTCTTGGCTCTGCTCTTTGAATTCTGAGAGTGTGTGGGCCTTCCTACCTTCCTCAGACAGTCCTCATGTTTTCATTATCCCAGATAGCTCTTCAGGCTTTTAATAAAATTTCAAGGCCCCAAGTTCTTCAAGGCCTCTTTTCTCCGGCTGAATTAGCAGTTTTTGGGACCAGCTATTTGGGACTGAGCTATTTCTTACAGCAGAAGGAAGCTATTTCCAGTTCATCATGGCATTGGACCACCATGACAACTGAGCAAGGACAGGCTTGAAACCAAATCAAAATTGTGTTTACTGCCTTTAAAACACCAAAGAAAAATCAGGAGACATTCAGGCTTAGAGAAAAACCAATAAGCACCTGTTCTCCAGTAGTCAAAATTAACATAAAGTATCTTTCTAAGACAACAACAGAGACACGGAGGACTGGCGTCTGATCTTCACTTATAGATTCATAGATACTAAGGTCAGAAGGGACCATTAGGATCATCTAGTCTGACCTCCTGCACAATGCAGGCCACAGAATCTCACCCACCCACTCCTGCAAAAAACCTCTCACCAAAGTAGTTGGTGGTGTCATATTTGTACTAAAGTGCTCTGTTGGTTGACAGGCCTGTTTGATGTATCTCGGAGGTTGGCTTGAGTCCACTGCCTACATAACACCCTTAATTTAGATAAAAACAATGAGGAGTCCAGTGGCACCTTAAAGACTAACAGATTTATTTGGACATAAGCTTTCGTGCGTAAAAACCCACTTCTTCATATGCATGGAGTGAAATTGCAGGCATATATATAATGGCACATAAAGAGAAGGGAGTTACTTTACAAGTGGAGAACCAGTGATGACAAGACCAGTTCAGTCAGGGTGGATGTGGTCCACTCCCAATAATTGATAAGGCGGTGTCAATACCAACAGAGGAAAATTGCTTTTGCAATGATCCAGCCACTCCCAGTCCCTGTTCAAGCCCAAATTAATGGTGTTAAGTTTGCAAATGAATTGTAGCTCTGCAGTTTCTCTTTGAAGTCTGTTTTTGAAGTTTTTTTGTTGTAGTATGGCTACTTTTAAGTCTGTTATTGAATGTCCAGGGAGATTGAAGTGTTCTCCTACTGGCTTTGTATGTTACCATTCCTGATGTCTGATTTGGGTCCATTTATTCTTTTACGTAGAGATTGTTCGGTTTGGCCAATGTACATGGCAGAGGGGCATTGCTGGCACATGATGGCATATATCACATTAGTAGATGTGCAGGTGAATGGCCCCTGTTGGTGTGGCTGATGTGGTTGGGTCCTATGATAGTGTTGCTAGAGTAGATATGGGGACAGAGTAGGCAATGGGGCTTGTTACAGGGATTGGTTCCAGGATTAGAGTTTCTGTGGTGTGGTGTGTAGTTGTTGGTGACTATTTGCTTCAGGTTCGGGGGCTGTCTGTAAGAGAGGACTGGCCTGCCTCCCAAGGTCTGTGAGAGTGGGGGATTGTATTCCAGGATAGGTTGTAGATCGTTGATGATGTGCTGGAGAGGTTTTAGCTGGGGGCTGTACATGATGGCCAGTGGTGTTCTGTTATTTTCCTTGTTGGGCCTGTCCTGCAGTAGGTGACTTCTGGGCACGCATCTCGCTCAGTCAATCTGTTTACTCACTTCCCCAGGTGGGTATTGTAGTTTTAAGAATGCTTGATAAAGATCTTGTGGGTGTTTGTCTCTGTCTGAGGGATTGGAGCAAATGTGGTTGTATCTTAGGCCTTGGCTGTAGACAATGGATTGTGTGATGTGTCCTGGAGGTATGTAGGTAAGAATAGCGGTAGGTTTCTGGTATAGGGTGGTGTTTATGTGACCATCGCTTATTTGCACTATACTGTCCAGCAAGTGGATCTCTTGTGTGGACTGGTCCAGGCTGAGGTTGATGATGGTGTGGAAATTGTTAAAATCCAGGTAGAATTCTTCAAGGGCCTCCTTCCCATGGGTCATATGATGAAGATGTCATCAATGTAGCACAAATAGAGGAGGGACGCTAGGCTAGGAGACGAGAGCTGAGGAAGCATTGTTCTAAGTCAGCCATAAAAATGTTGGCAAACTGTGGGGTCATGCGGGTACCTGTGGGGCCATGCGTAGCAGTGCCTCTGACTTGAAGGTATAAGTTGTCCACAAATCTGAAATGGTTGTGGGTGAGGACAAAGTTACAAAGCTCAGCCTGGACAAAGCATGGCCCCTTGTGGGTATGCCAAGGTCTCATCAGGGATATTGTTCTTGACAGCTTGTAGTCCATCCTTTTGTGGAATATTGGTGTAAAGAGCTTCTACATCCATGGTGGCCAGGATGGTGTTTTCAGGAAGATCACCAATGCATTGTAGTTTCCTCAGGAAGTCAGTGGTGTCTCAAAGATAGCTAGGAATGCTGGTAGCGTAGGGTCTGAGGAGAGAGTCCAAATAGCCAGATAATCCTGCTATAAGAGTGCCAATGCCTGAGATGATGAGGCATCCAGGATTTCCAGATTTATGGATCTTGGCTAGCAGATCAAATACCCCTGGTCGGGGCTCTAGGGGTGTGTCTGTGTAGATTTGTTCCCATGTTGTAGCAGGGAGTTTCTTGAGCAGCTCATGTAGTTTCTTTTGGTACTCTTCAGCGGGATTGGAGGATAGTGGCCTGTAGAATGTGGTGTTGGAGAGTTGCCTGGCAGCCTCCTGTTCATAATCCGACCTGTTCACGATGACTACAGCACCTCCTTTGTCAGCACCTTTGATTATAATGTCAGAGTTGTTTCTGAGGCTGTGGATGGCATTGCATTCTGTATGGCTGAGGTTATGGGGCAAGTGATGCTGTTTGTTCACAATTTTAGCCTGTGCATGTCTGTGGAAGCACTTTATGAAGAAGTCCAGTCTGTCATTTCGACCGTCAGGAGGAGTCCACGTGGAATTCTTCTTCTTGTTGTCTTCTTGAAATGGAGAGGGAGTTTAATGCTAGTGTCCAGTGGGTAGGAGGATTCCTGTGGATCAGTGCACTGTTTAGTGGTGTGTTGAAAATATTCTTTGAGTCGGAGATGGCAAAAGTAGGCTTCCAGATCACCGCAGAACTCTATCATGTTCAGGCCGGGGGGGGCGGGGGGGGCCAGAAAGAGAGTCCCCGAGGTAGGACAGACTCTTCTGCTGGGCTAAGTATGTGATAGATTAACAATATTTTTGGGTGAGTTAAGAGTATCACTGTTGTAGCCCCTTGTGGCATGTAGGAGTTTACTGTCCTTTCTCCTCTGTAGAGAAGTAAAGTGTGCATTGTAAATGGCAACAAACTCCATTGCCTACTCTGTCCCCATATCTACTCTAGCGACACCATCATAGGACCCAACCACATCAGCCACACCATCAGGGGCCATTCACCTGCACATCTACTAATGTGATATATGCCATCATGTGCCAGCAATGCCCCTCTGCCATGTACATTGGCCAAACCGAACAATCTCTACGTAAAAGAATAAATGGACACAAATCAGACATCAGGAATGGTAACATACAAAAGCCAGTAGGAGAACACTTCAATCTCCCTGGACATTCAATAACAGACTTAAAAGTAGCCATACTACAACAAAAAAACTTCAAAAACAGACTTCAAAGAGAAACTGCAGAGCTACAATTCATTTGCAAACTTAACACCATTAATTTGGGCTTGAACAGGGACTGGGAGTGGCTGGCTCACTACAAAAGCAATTTTTCCTCTCTCGGCATTGACACTTCCTCATCAATTATTGGAAGTGGACCACATCCACCCTGACTGAATTGGTCTTGTCATCACTGGTTCTCCACTTGTAAAGTAACTCCCTTCTCTTTATGTGCCATTATATATATGCCTGCAATTTCACTCCATGCATATGAAGAAGTGGGTTTTTACACATGAAAGCTTATGCCCAAATAAATCTGTTAGTCTTTAAGGTGCCACCAGACTCCTTGTTGTTTTTGTGGATACAGACTAACACGGCTACCCCTCTGATCAATTTAGATAATTTATTTTATACTTTCAAGAGATTTTAAATTGTTGAGGTGAATATTGTTTGGTTAGTTAAAAACAAAACATGAAAAAGAAACCCCAATGAAACATGGCTTGGTTGTGAAAATGAACATTCATTGTAAAAGTAATGTAAAAAAAAATGTCATCCAAGACATCAGAGACATTGGGACCAAGACAATTTAAGTGAAACAACAAGAACTTCAGATTACACAAACGGGAATCAGCATTGAGTCTCATGCTTTACAGCAGGATCACTGCAGGGGTTAAAATGGTATTTCTCACACAGGTACTGCATGGCAAAATTGGTAAGAAGCACTCTGTGGTTTTGCTTTGACTTCAGTCAGAGCCAGTAATCAGGGCCAGAGTCTTAGCAACAGCCATACTTAGACATTATCAGAGATATGAGAACAAAGATGGTTTCATGGTTAAGCTACTGCTCTGGGTCTCAGTTTTCAAATCATGACTTTGTCACAGGCTTCCTATGTGAGTTTGATTAAATCCCTTTATCTTTCTGCGCCTCAGTTCCCTATCTGTAAACAGCGTAATACCACTTCCTTTCTTCTACCCTTTGTCTCTCTCATTGTCTATTTAGACTGTAAGCTCCTTGGGGCAGGTACTGACTCTTATTCTGTGTCTGCACAGTGCCTAGCACAATGGGGTCGGAGCCCAGTGGGGCCTCTGGGCACTACTTTAATACAAATGAATAACAAATGGAACTGCCATTAAGAGAGAAAAGCCAGTTAAAGAGTGGGCAAAAATAAAAAGTTTCAATTTACTCAAAATGAGTTGTGATACCACAGAAAAACCTCCAGATGAGCATGGTCTCTGCTTTTTAAAGAATCCTACAGGTTCATAAACCAAAAGAAAACTTAATTATATTCATCAGAGGCTTTTAGAAATGAAGAAAAGCAAGAATACTGTGCTGAACAAAATAGTGGGTGCTGGGTTCTTTTAAGGTTTGTAATTTTAGCTTTAATCCCCAGTCATAGCTAAATCAAAAGGCCTTTAAGTTGTCTTCTTGAAATGGAGAGGGAGTTTAATGCTAGTGTCCAGTGGGAAGAAACTTATTTGGAAATTGTTCTGCAGCATAATTCTCTCTCTTGGTATGCCTTAAAAACAGATCCCTGCTAATTAGAAGGGTTGGAAGATATATCAATCAAGTTACCTACTTTGTAATAATCATACAATAGGCCAAGAGCAGCAGCACTGTCCTCATCTCCATTTATGCTCATCATAGCCTTGGTAGCTGCTGTTAGGGGATTTTCCAGGTACGACTTCCAGGCTTCATCTTCACTTGTGTAGGCTCGTCTGGTATTGAATGGTGTCTCATTTGGTACTAAGGCCACAAGGCGTTTGTTACTGTAAAAACACAAGGCACACAATGGTAATTCACCAGAGATTTTTCCTTTCAGATCCACAAACCACCTTACAATTTTCTATTGCATAATATTTTCAAGAGAGGATGAGTAAAAAATAAGACAAAATGGAGTAAAATTGATCTAACAGTGTCAAGCCAAGACTGGGGTACCAAACTTGCTGTTAAAACATGCATCAATACTAGATATATATCCTCAGACCTTAACGATATGTATCTATGCATCCAGAAGACTAAACTGGTGTGCATCTGCAGCCCAATGATTTGTGTGCATTGTTTTCCTCACTCTGTACAATGTATATTGGTGTATCTGTTAAAATAATTTTCAAATTGTTGTAAAACAATAGGTAATATTGTTCCATTTAAGAAATATGCCTGTTTTATAGCAGAACTATTTTTCTCCCTTCTTGCTTATTTGGAAGGTAATTTGACAGTGATTTCAGATTGCCTTTCAATAATTGGGGCATCTCTTGTCCAATGGGGTGGAAGTTAGGAGACTGGATTCTATTCCCACACTTGCCACTGACCTACTGTGGGCAAATCGTTTAACCTCTCTGAGCCTCAGGCATTGTATATGCAGGGGACTTCAGCCTCCAGTACAGCTGTAAACCCTTGCCATAAACAGGCGAAACCACTATAAGCTATGATTTGCACAAGTGTAGTTTGCCCTTTCTTGAAACTGGGATATACTGAACCTGTGTGAATCATGGCATTATAGTGGGTTTGCCCACAGACATCATGGGTTTGCATTGATGCAACTACACTGATGGCTGACTACCAAGAGCTGAAATCTCCATTGAAGACAAAGCCTCAGTTACTGGAAATGGAAATAACAATGACCACCTTTATAATCTACTTTGTGATCCAACAGATATACAGCTATATAAATGCAAAGTATTATAACTACACAAAAATCAGAAGTAACCCAGGAGGGAAGTGTTTTATCTGGATTGAAAGGCAGATAATCCCATTGTTCATTGGAAGCACTGAGTCAGTTTGATTGTTCAAACTATGCACCTGATTAAATCTTTTTTAAACATTTCCTTTTAAAAAAATGTATCAGCTCTCCGAGGAAGAATCAAATTGGATAAAAATGACTTAGAATTGAATGTGCTCTCTTCATTTGCCAGCCTATTTACTTGACTAGCCTTCCTTATGAAGTTTTTTTAAAAAATTCCTTACAATCTTTTACATTTATGTAAAACTGCTCATTTTAGATGTGTTGGTTCTCCTCTAATTACCATTGGCCTAATCCTACAGTTCTTAAGCAGGAAAAACTTTAATTGAAGTTAGGGTATGTCTACACTGTGACATTGTCGACAAAACTTTTGTCTTTCACGGGTATTTATAAAAAGCCCCCCCGTGAAAGACAAAAGTTTTGCCGACGCAAGTGGCGGTGTGAATGCAGCTTTGTCGGCAGGAGCGCTCTCCTACTGACAAAGCTACTGCCGCTCAAGGGGCTGGAAGTATTTTGTCTGCAAAAGTGCCGACAAAATACCGATAGAAAGCGTTCACACACGCTGACTTTTAGCGACAAGGCTGTCACTAAAAGCTGCGTAGTGTAGACAAGCCCTTAGTGGGACTTCTGTTAACACAAACACTGTGCAATCTAGTCCTATATTTGAATTGAGAAATAGGAGACAATAAAGGTCAAACTGAATTCACAATCAAAATAAGTGCTTCCCTTCCCTTTACTCCCCTGGGATATGCCCTGAACCACAATTTTCCAGTTACAGTGAATCCTACTGTGAATTTACTGATAAGCACAAACTTCACATTGAACGCTACTGATGGTTGAACGGGCTTTGTAAAGTGCATTTTCTTGTTGAATAATTAAGGGATTTTGGGGGGTAGAGATTATCGTCTCTCCAGAACACAGCCCTGTTTGCATGTTACTTTGTTTAACGAAAAACAAAATAATCAGCCAGTACATGGATCAAAATTTTATGAGCTGCAAGAGAGAGCATTTCATAACTTCATTACACAAATAACCAAAATAATGATCTCCGATTATTTTTTCCTTCTGGTTAAAAAATCTTGACTTTAAGATCCTCCTTTCCTTTTTGCACTGCCTTTCCACCATCATCTGGCCTTTTGCACTATTTTAGGGCTTCCCCCTCTCATTTCCATATGTATAATTGGGTACCTACAGCTACAGTGAGGGAAAATAAAGCATTTATTTATAGTACAAGAGATAGATGTAAGGAACTGCAAGGCCTGCTTCCCTTTTCAGCTTTGTATTGTTAGTGACCCGCAACTCAGGTTTGCAATAACCTCCTTTTTTGTGCTTAAGAGGTGATTGAAACCTTGTTCCCGCCCTGGAAGAGCCACTTCTCTCCAGCTAAGAGGTAATTATTCCCTTCAGATTCTTCTTTCCTGAACAAAGCTCTCCTTTAACTAAACACATGATGGTTTTATGACATGGGCAACTGCCCATTGTGAGCAGCATCAATACCACATACATTCTCCTCTGCAGTGATCTTAGCTCATAATCAAAAACTATAAACATTTACTCTTCTGTCCCTTGGAGCGCTTGCATTTGACAATCATAACTGACTTCATAGTGTGAGTGCTACAGGCTTATCGCAAGAATCACCTGTTTTAAATTTTAAATTTTGCGAATACAGACTAACACGGCTACTACTCTGAAGCCTGTTTGAAATTGTAACATGCTTGTCTGGAGAAATGTTAAGACACCCAAACCAGAAGGAATCAGCCTCTAAGCACTCAGTCCTAGAGAGGACCCATCTTAAAGGGGTAAAAAAGGAGAGTTCTATAAGTGATATCATTTTGGAGGGTACTCAGACACTAAGGTGACAAGTGTAATTGAATTGCCTGTCAATAATTAAATAGCCTGGGGAGGTAAAAATTCATGGCAGTGGAGATCAGAAGACTAGGATTTACGGTCTTCCTTCAGATGGAATTGAACACATTTTCTCTAGATCTATGCTTTCATATTTAAAAATAAAATGCCTGTCTCCTCTGGTTATAGAGATGGCCTGCAGCATGTAAACAAAAGCACTGTCATTTTATGGAGCTTGAAAACAAACTGAAACAGTAACACTAACAGAAATAAAAACATCTTCCCTACCCTGAGCCCTGCAGTCAGCTCACAGGGGGGTTAATGCTGAGACCTAATTATCACAAGTTAAGCACTGTGAAATCATTTCAACCAATTGATTGTTGTCAGAGGAGCTAGCCATGGGCAGAATGTGGTATTAGCCCTAGTCTACACTATAGAGTTAGGTCGACATAAGGTTACATTGACCTAACTCTGTAAGTGTCTAGACTACAGGGTTGCTGCTGCTGATGTAAGTCCCCCACTACACCGACCTAATAACTCCACCTCCACAAGAGGCATAGTGCTTAGGTCAGTGTAGTTAGGGCAACACAGTGTCTGTGTAGACACTGCATTGCTTACATCGCCTGTCAGCACTGCACAGAATTCACCAATTTTTTGATGCGGAGGAAGGATGGGAGTGAGGTGGAAGGAAGGGATACAAGCTTATGAAGAACAGCAAAACTGTCACATTACTCATTGGCCAGGTTTAGTACAACAAAATGTTTACACACTGTAGCAAATTGGTCTCCATGATTGTATAAGCCTAGTCTGAGGCCTTGTGTACACAGGAAAGTTGCACAACTACAACCAAAGGTATGAATTTGAACCAATATACTTACACTGCTGCAAACCCCTATGTGAAAACTCTTATTGTAAAGGTCAACGGTGGGTTTTGCCAGTTTAGCTTAAGTAAACTTGGAATAGGTTTAAATTAAACTGAACTAGCACCTCCCCCTAAATAACTCATTTTGAGATAGTAAGTATGATTGCCACGCTTCCAGGATTGTTCTGGAATCTCCATGAATTAAAGATTAATATTTAATTAAAGATTATGTCATGTGATGAAACCTCCAGGGAGACATCCATCCAAAATTGGCAATCCTAGTATTAGGCATCTGGAGTGGCACAAGGCATTATTAATAGCAATAGCATTCCCTTCCCATCCATGTGTCTGTCTCTCTCCCGCTCCCATATTTGATTTCCTGTAAACTACTCCCCAGAGCATGGCCACCTGCATTGGGCCCACTTGGAGTTCACAAATACAATGAGATTCAGAATGTCCATAGAAACTTCATGTCACAATAACATAATTCCCCTGTTAAGCACCAAAAGCTAGGCACAGGTTGAAGAGATTGGGGCAAATGTGGAGGGTTCACTCTAATCTGTCCCATCATTGGGTTGTCCAGGCCACACTTTGCCCTCTGACTCTCCAAGAAATGCACACATCCAACATGCTTCAGATAAAGTTCCCTCATTCCTAGGATCTGGTTTCTGAAACATTACAAGAACTAAACAGTTCATCTGGCCCTCCCAGGTACAAACCATTCCTTCCCTAATAGACAGGATTTCACAATCTCCTCTATCCCTCTAGGCTAAATTCTTTCTGCACGTGGGTCATGCTAGGCACTTTTGCAGGCTCCTTCCCCAATTCCTGGCATGACTTGCCTCTCCTCAAGCCCATTTGACATGATGTTGTTTATGACTCGTCTCTAGTACATTTTCCTTCCAGTTGGCAGAGCTGTGAATATGCTCTTCTGGTCTCCTTTGAGGGGGAGCAGAACACTGGTCTGAGGTGGTTGGGCATGTTGGTAAAGAAGAAAAGGTTGCCAATAGGTGTTCTCTGGCCACTGGTTGCACTGGCAGAGCAGAAAAGGCTATAATCAGGGGGGATTAAATAACTGATTGAAATGACCAGGAAGAAAGTGTTGTGATGCACACTCTCTATGTGCACAGTCTATGTACAGTTCCTTTGTTTTCACTTTTGGCTGTACACCAGAACAGAGTTAAGTTCCTTTTCTTTTTTCTTGTTTTTGCCACTGGTACAGCTACATCAGTACATGGTGCACTGCTACCTACTCCTTTTAACTTAGGCCAAGTGAACAGGTGTAAACCAGGACTGATGCATCTTGGTGCATCTTGCTC